TTTCCTAAATCTATAAATACAATTTTTTAACATATACCTTCTATCAAAGTTTTTGGTGCATGGGTTTTCGAGAGGCGAATATATCTATTAACGTTTATTAATTCGTACATTTATCACCAGAGTTCGGAATTTACCACACTTTTCAATGAACAAAAAAAAAAAAAAACGATTCACCTTCGTTGAACCCCGTCAGAAGGTCAATAAGCCCTTTAAGTGCTGAATTAAACATTTTAAAAATATTGCCTTCCTACCTAATTACCCTAACTTATTGTAAAATAAAAAAAATCTTTTTACATAAACATACACATCGAGATACAAATGGTAAGAGAAATCGCTTTTATAGTAGAGAGCCGTCTACGAGTTATACTTTCGAATTATTCGTTACGTACGGAATAAAAAATAATCCTAAAGCATAATATTGTACAAGAGCATCCGAAAAAAATCCGTTTTGCGATATATTCCAAATACTATTTTTCATAAATTTTACAAGTGACTAAATTATATTACAGTCATGTTGAATTGCCTATACCCGTCTCCACAGAACATACAATTTAACCAAATTCAATCCCGCTAAGACGTAATCGCGGTAATAATATTCTAAAGTCACACGGTTGTAAGTTTGATTGCGTTATGCAAACCCCTTAAAACGGTGTAAATTATGTGGGTACATACGCAAAATGTTTGTAAATAATAAATTATGGATTTTTATTCGGTACTATTGTTTGTGTACGTAACAAATTATAAATTTGTACTTGTCGGAGTAAAGGTAACGAAACACTGGAACCGAACAACGTTCAAATTGTCAACGGATGGTTACACGGTACGGTAACTAGGAGAAAACGGTCTTTTGCGTCGCAAGAGGTTTGTATAATTGCAATATTATGATATTTCGGAGTATAGTTTATCACTTTAAAAAATTGTCGTATGACAATTTGTTTGTTTCGATAATTTAACAGAATATCTGTCTGTATAAAAATATATTTGACTAAAATTATTGTTCATAATTACAGTGTTATTAAAAATGTATACAATAGAAACGTATTTTAGATTTTAGCAAAGAAAACTAATAATCCGGATTTTCCCGTACGTTTTGAAAACTTTACTATGCATTAATATTAATTTAATTATTATTTTTTTTTTTTTTATAAAATCATAAGGACTTCAATATTGATCGTTTTTATTAAATCAAACTTATTTTATAACAACTGATAATAAATCAAAGGAAAAAAATACCCGAATTTTCAGAATCAAAAAACAGAAACCCGAATAGTCAGTGTCACTGTACAGTAGATTAGTCTAATTAGTGGACAAAATTAATAGTATAACTTGACGTTTTACGAGTTTTGACCACGGACATACAAACTGAGCAAATACAGTGCGTCCCATCACGTTCGTCTGATTTTTCTAACGCTGTTAACATTAAATTTTTCTCTCTATCGGTTTATCTTCGAATGGGACATTGATTTGGAGAAATAGTACATTTTTATTTTCATCTCTGATTCTAAATCTGATTTATAAAAACGTTCGAAATACAACGATACGTTTGAATACTTACGGTATCGTGTTGTGTAGAATGACGTCGAGAGCTTAAGGACAAAACAAGACGGTTCAGTCAGAATAAACGGAGACCCCGACGAAGAGGACTACGCGGACGTACCGGATACAGGAGACATTTTCCAAACGATAATAGGTATACGGTTACAATATTGTACTTAACTCTAAACAATAATAATAGTTGTATAGTTACGAAACAATATCGGTTTCAATGAATCCGAAAACCGCACACTTGCGATAAAATACAGGACAAAACCACACACTTTTGGCGGGTTTAAACCGCACGCATTTAGTAGGTTAAAACCGCACACATTTTTTAAATTGTCGTATTCGAAAATAATCGCACATTTTATGATAATGTATAGTCTATTATTAATCGATAATTAATCTAAAAATATATGAAATAAAATATCAAATATCATAATTGCATCTTAATTAGTGGTGTTAAATATTAATATAAAATAAAATTTTAAGCGAAAAACCGACGTTTTTTAAACAACTTAAAATACTTATAAGTTTCAAAATATTAAAAAAAAAAATGTTTATATAATTATCGGTAGGAATCGATGGCCGGTGTTTTTTCTTAGGAATTTTGAACGATCTCTGTCGAAAATTCTTCCCAATTTTTAAACAACTGTTCCTAAAATTAAACATAATATAATAATAAAAAAAAAAAAAAAAACGACGTGCTACTAAAATTAAAATGTGCCCATTAACTAGGTTTTTTGTTTATCGATTGGACGGACAATATGTTCATATAACAATATATTATACAATTATTACTGTTATATAATATTATATTTGTATAATTAGCGCACAGTTTTACCCTACTATGAGTGTGCGGTATTTGTTTACCGACCTTTTTGGGACGGAGACCACGTGTGTACGGTTTTCGGATGCAACCATCGGTTTAAACCAGAGGTTCCCAGAAGGGTCTATTCTGACCTGCGAGCGGTCCGTGTTATCGAGAACGAAAATTGGAGGTGCGTGAGATGTCGACGAGAGCGTATAGAGTAAAAAAAAAGGCGTGCATCGTAATTTTTACGATAAGTACGTGTGAAAAAAAGTCCGGAAACCTCTGTTCTGTGCGTTCGAACATTTGAATTGCTATATTTTGCTTAAAAACACGTTTTACAGGGCTAAACTATTCATTTCAAAA